CGTTAAGTGTAAAATAATTTTTCATGGTAGGTGCGTCAACCTTACTGATAAAGACTCCGAAGCATTAAAAATAATTAAAAAAACTTGGGTTTGCTCTAACTGCGAACAGGGGAAAAAACAAAATAACGAGCCGTCCCCCTCAGAAATACTTGCGGCAGTAAACCGTTTAGACGCTACCGTGAACGAAGATATAAAAAACATGAAAACAGCACTAGATAAATACGGAGAGCTCAGTTTTGAACTAAACGAAAGACTGACGAAGATTGAAAAACATCTAGAAGGTCAAGCTAAAAAATTTGAGGAGATACTATTAGAAAATAAAGCACTCAAATCCCGAGTGGGCGAATTAGAGGTTCGCTTGAATAACGCAGAACAAGGACTATTGAGTAGATCACTGGAGATCCGCGGTATACCGGAGCGACCGGGCGAAACGCCCGCTGCTTTGGTGACCAGTATAGGAGCAAGCTTGGGGATCAGGCTTAGTGTGGAGGACCTTGACAACGTACATCGCCGCAGAAGCCGAAAAGATGACTCGCGACCACCGCCTGTTATCGCACGTTTTGTCAGGCAATCAATTAGAGATGACTTAATTACGAAAAGGAAAGTGAAGAGGGATTTCTCCACGCGGGATATCGGTTGGCGGGAAAATGACTGCCACCGAATTTATCTGGGTGAAGAGATGACTCGCACAAACAGACACCTCTATTGGTTAGCCCGGCAGAAGAGAGCGGCGGGAAAAATCAAATATACGTGGTTTGCTTCCGGAAAGGTGCGGTGTCGAAAAGAGGACGGACATAGAGTCATCCTGATAGAACAGGCCTCGGATCTAGATGTATTTGACTGACTACCTAGAAGCCGTCAACCCCTTAGCCTCATTAAAATAGTCTTACTTCTTTTCTTAGTGCTATCTCGACACCGTCACTCACCAATCTATTTATTTTTAAGTACATTCTCTTTATTTATTTTTAATGTTAATATTACTTTTTCTTTATTTAGTTTCATGTACGATAATCGCTTTTCTGTACTTTCTACTCGTTTTGTCTTCTCGCTACCAAACACTGACTGTTTCTCTCCAAATCCACTGTATGTCTAGTTCCCTAATCACATGTCAAGTTAACTCTCAATCACTTTCTGCCCATTATGACGAATTCCTGCAATACTTTACCCAAAACTTTTATCATATCATAGCAATATCTGAAACCTGGCTTAAACCTTATATTCCATCATCTTCAGTATCCTTGCCGAATTACATCCTGCTCCGTCATGACCGGGTAAACCGGACTGGCGGTGGAGTAGCCATGTTTGTCCACAATAGCCTAAAGACCCGAATCCTCGATTGCTCCCCATCTTCCGATCATCCTCATGTAGAATATCTCTTAGTAGAAATTCTCAGTAATATTTCTCCTATCCTTTACGCCGTGGTATATCGCCCTCCTCTCGTGCCATTTGACCCGTCCTTCGAATCAACTCTATTCAACTTCGTTCCCCTCTATCCCAGAATAATTATCTCCGGTGACCTCAATACCAATTTCCTCTCAAAATCCAATGACAAATCCTATTTAGAAAATCTGTTTTTCTCACTTCACCTATTCATCGTTCCTTTTTCCTCCACCCACCACACCAGCAGATCTGACACTTGGCTAGACTTCTACATCATCGACTCAGCACAAAACCTCCTCTCCGCCTCTCAAGTGCCAGTATCCTTTCTTTCATCTCATGATCTGATACAAATAACGTATAATATCCGCACTCCTCCAATCCATCCTCGAACTATCACTTTCCGCCAACTGGATACCCTTACTCGAGAAAAAATATTACCTGATCTAGTAACATTGGATTTAAATGGAATATATCATTGCTCCTCTGTCGACACCATGGTTGATATTCTCACCACCAATCTTCTCAATATACTCAATACCCACGCTCCTCTCAAAACCTCCACTTTCCGTCATCGTCCTGCTCCTTGGATGTGTCAGGAAATTAAGGATCTGCAGAAGAGACGCGACGCTGCACGCAGACGCTTCAGACGGACTAGGCTTGCAGATGATTATCAAATATTCAGAGTGCTTCGCAACACGACACAGACAAGGATCCGACAAGCGAAAGCGAACTACTTTCACGAAGCCCTTTCCTCAGCTCCTGATATCAAATCAAAATGGCTTCTACTTCGTAAGCTTTCCCTCTGTGAACCTTCTAGATCCCCTTCCTCAGTTTTCCCAATATCACCTGATGACCTAAACTCCCACTTTATATCGGTTTCCACCTCTTCGTTACCATCCCCTTCCGGCTTTTCTCCAGAGGTACCTTTTAACGACAATAATTTTTATTTTTCCGACATTTCTCCCACAGACCTTATTACCGTTATAATGAAATCCCGTTCCAATTCCGTAGGCCCAGATGGCATTCCTATCAAACTAATAAAATTATGTCTCCCTGAAATCCTCCCAGCACTCCTTTTCATCTACAATTTCTCCCTGCAGAATTCAATATTCCCGACCTCTTGGAAAAAAGCCATTGTCCTTCCTTTAAACAAAAAGCCTAATCCATCCTCTCCCGAAGATTTCCGCCCAATATCAATCCTTTCCAATCTTTCTAAACCCCTAGAAAAGTTGGTGCAATCCCAAGTTTCCAACTTCCTTGAACAATCCAACCAACTCGATCCTCTCCAATCTGGCTTCCGTCCTGGCTACTCTACACAATCTGCTCTGATTAAAATTACTAGTGATATCCAGACTGCAATAGATGACAAAAAACTAACCATACTTATACTTCTTGATTTCTCTAAAGCTTTCGATTCCATTATCCATTCCATCCTTTTCAACAAACTAAAATCATTATCCTTCTCCAAGAGTTCCATCTCTTGGTTCCAGTCTTTCCTCTCACAACGAACCCAAGCAGTTTCCATACCTAATCAACCTCTATCTGCCTACCTTCCTTTATCCTCAGGAGTTGCACAGGGTTCAAGCATGTCTCCTCTTCTTTTCAGTTCTTATATTAATGACCTAAATGATACAATTATCCATTGTTCCCACCACCTTTATGCCGACGATTCTCAAATCTATTTATCCTTTTCTCCCGCTGAGTTATTGGTGGCATTTGCCAAAATTCAAGAAGATTTAGATCGAATTAATGCCTGGGCCAACTTAAATGGATTAAGGCTAAATGCTGCCAAAACTCAGGCCATTCTCATTGGTTCCAAGCCCCTTCTTAGATCCCACACCAACTTTCCCTCACTCTATCTAAACAACCACCCCATCACCTTCTATCCCTTTGTTAAAAATTTAGGCTTTCTCATAGATCAAACCCTTTCCTGGAATCACCATATCTCTCATATATCCCGCCGTGCAATTTCTACCCTCAAACTATTCCATCACTTCCGCCATCTTCTACCCCAAAATACCCGTAGACTCCTAGTTTCCTCTCTCATCTTTCCCCACTTTGACTACAGCTGTGTGGTGTACGATGGCCTCTCGGTGGAACTGCGTGATAGACTCAAAAGACTTATGAATTGCTTCGTAAGATTTGTAATCGGAACCCCGAGACGCTCCCGTGTCTCCCACCACTACACTGAGTTAGGGTGGCTCTTCCCCTCCTTAAGAAGACAATATTTCCTTGGCACTTTCCTTTATCAAATCATTACCGATCATCGTCCTTCTTATGCCTACAACCTTCTCCAATTTAAGTCCTCAATCCATTCACTCACTACAAGATCCCGACCCTCCGACCTATACATCCCTTCTCATAGATCTGCCTCATTCCAAAATTCCTTTATAGCCCGCTCTGTCAACTTTTGGAATTCCCTCCCGATCAAAATTCGACATGCCCCTTCCCTGTACACATTCAAAAACCTCCTATTCCAATTCCTGTTCCAAAAACAGTCAGATACCAGCTAACGATTAATATTATACATGTATTGTGTAGCAATCATGTAATCATAACACTTGGTAAGAGATAGTACATGCATTTCCTACTATCGACGTAGGAATTTCAATACATAAATTTTTTTGTATTTTTTTTTTTATTCAATTATAAATAACTGTTTATTTTCATATATATATTCAAGTAAAGTTTTTTTTTTTTTTATGAAATGAACTCATTGTATCTCTTTTTCGTTCTTCATTTCTCAAGTGTATGTTTATGTTGTTCAACCCTTAAATATAATTTTGTTCATAGTTCAAATGATTCGTTCATAGTTTTAATTGTTTTATTCATAATTTTAAATGCTCTGTACATAGTTTTATCTGTATTGTATATAGCTTGTGCACCTAAGATTTCTTTACTTTTTATTTTATTTTATCAATTTTATTTATTGTTTCAACGTTCAGGCCAGTAATATTCTATTATTTTGTACATTATTGTTATTCTGAAGGGACTTAGTCCCAGAATAAAGTTTCTTTTTCTATCTATCTATCTTCTATAAGTAACAGTTGAAAACTGCTAAAATGAAATAAAGATAGACTTGATGAACGTTCAATATTTGATAACGATACAACTTAATTATTAGTGAAATTATGAAATCAATGCATAAATATATAAAATGCTGATCATAATAATTTTATTTAAACAAAACCAATCCTGATGAATCTTATAGTATTTTTTTACCTAAACAAGCATTAAGGATGCCCAGAAGGGGTGGCATAAGGCTAGTTAAGCTTCAGATTTTGAGGGGATACAGGGGATACACGAGATACACTTTGATGAGATTATGAATTTTTGAAAGAAGTCATTTTATCAAGGGTTATTTATTGTAATTAAAAATTGTTTATTTTTGTGGGGTTTCAGTTTGGAGGAATTTAACAAACCATAGAACAAAACATGGAACTCAGTACAAGCGGAATTGCATATGAACTAAAATTGTTTTGATTCTACCTTCGCTATAGCAATAAAATTCCCATAATAGGATGAGGGGACAAAGAGGCATAGATCGTGTTCAGTCACATTTTAAAATTATTTTTCATTTAATTTCAGTATTATTTTGGATCCTTGTTTGAATGTTTCAGGCTTCAAGACCCTCTCTGGCGTAACTCAGCTCATCCGCAAACTGATTTCAGTTAATGCAGAAGGAGACAGTAGCGCACTGGTGTAGCCCATTACCACTAAGTACGCCTTATTTCGTGAAGACAGATGACTCCGTTCATCAACAGAAAAGACCCTGTTCTCATCATCAATTTACAACGATGAGCAGATGTCTGCTATTAACTGCAATCTAACGTTTCGTAATCGCTAAAAAAAAAAAAGCGATGTCAATTTAAACTGACCTTGCCTATCGAGGCTATTGAATTTGAGAAGTTCCACATCTGATTTAGATGATTATAATTGTTGATTGGAAATCGACATTAAAGGTTCTCAATTTTCTTTGATCAATAAACTTTCCCCAAATAGTTAGACTAAAAGATTTTCTAAAGTTCGAAAGTTTTAAACTCGTGACAGAAGAATTTAAAAAATGTTTTTATTAACTTTTGTGTTTACTTTACAAAACTTTAAAAAAACAAAGAAAAAGAAATGCAAAACACCGTTATGATATGCTGGAATCTACATAATCGTTAATGATATGATTCAACCTAAAAACAACACTACATACAAAATTTCAGTACATTTGATCCAAAGGGGCCCGAATCGTAGTGAAAAATATGTATATTGATATTTATAAAACATCTCCGAAACCCCCATAAGCATGTTTTAAGAGTTCTAAAAGGGAAATAAAATATATCATCATTCCAATCCTTTGATGCAGTCCGCAAATCTATAATTTAAAAAAAAAATATTACTGAAATGTTTTTTTTTTTCAAAAAGACGATTTTAAAAACAACTCTAAAGGTTTAGAAATATTAACTTGAAAAGCGAAGAACCTAAGTAATTACATAAAGATTTTTAAAAATTATTTAAACTTATTTAAAATTAAAAAATGTAGTTTAAACTTTAAACCGTATAAAATTTATTTATAGGAAGTTATTTGTGCTGTAATATTTTTTTCGGTGTGTAATAAATAGATATCTATTTAACTATCAGATTTTAATATCAAGATTCGAAACCGGCAACTTAATTTTGATTTCGTGGCGGTCCCATGTTAAATGTAACACGGCAACCCATGGTTACGGTTATTTATGTATCAGGTGACTGTGAAGAGTACCTTGCCTTCGTTTTCGCATAGCGTACCTACTTTGTGATGCCGTAACACCAGTAAATCCAGATATAATAGTCAATTATATCTGCTGCTGAACTGGACTTAGGTTAGGTTATTACTTTTAATTATTTTGACTTTTATTTATATATCTTCTTATTTGTAAAACTCATATACATATTCTGTTTATAATTCAGTTAATATTAAAGGAGCATTTTATTTTGTTTCTTATATTTATTATTATTATATTATATAATTTATCATGTTATATAATTATATCATATAATTATTATTATATTATATTATATATAAATATTATATTTATTTATATTATTTATTCCTTTCTTTTATATTTAACTCATGACATGTTAATCTGGTCATAATTTGGAATAGCTTATTTTTCTGTACTATAAATATTTCATTGCAATCACAGGAGTACGCGACTGATTTTTTAGGAAATGATCCAAAAAAGAAATGTGGATATAGATACATTAAATTAACAAACCGCCGATAGGATCTCCTTCGATTCCTTTAAACTGTTTGGACCTCCAGCAGTTGCTTTCTTTGTCAGGATTGAGATACAACTGGAACGGCTTTATTAAGGTGCCCAAACATTGTGCCATCCCAAGGACAGTAAATCTTCGACCGCAAGATGTCCAGGAGTCCTGCTGAGGGACCACCTATACTGGCCCTACAGGTGGCTGCCACGACCTTCCTACCATTGCTGTAGTACAATGGGCGATAAACCACATAATAAAATTCAAGAGTTTTCCTTTTTCACTGCCTCAGAGCTACTGGTGATGTAGTAACCTGGCCAACCCATTTAACCCTATCCTAATATATTATGACGGTTTCTTATGAATTCTTATACATAAACGCACACACATGACAGGTGATGAATAATATTTCACAATGTACAATAGATAATACAAGTATATCCACTTGTAATATCCTGAGATGGATCGGAAGGACTGCCTAGTCCAGAAGAGATAAGAGACCTCGAAGCAGATCTGCCCGAGGACTGGTCGCTGGTATAAGGAAGATTTATTTAATGTATTCCGGGAGCTGTTGACGTTGTTCCTTGTTTGGTATAGCTTTCCGAGTCCACCCTGCCTTTATTAATTCCACAATTCCTTGCTCCACCTGTCGAGTCGGTTCGTTAGTAAGGACTAATTCAACGGCGCACTATATCCCCAATCATGTTCTGTTCCTGTTTTCTCGAGGGAGGCTGTGTTCAGTTTTTACGACATGGAGCAACAAGGAGCTGCGTTTGTCAGGTGAAACTTTTATGGTCATCCAACAGATCGTGCCCCTGTATTGCAAAGTCAACAAGAAATATATCTTCTCAACATTAAAATCTTTGCACTTGACATCAGGGGTGTCCATTCCCCCTAAGGCCGATGGTGCATGTCTCCAAAAATATTATTGTCTCCCTCACTTCTTTATAATTAATATGTATTTATATTTCAGTATAATTTTTTTAAATTTTTTTTATTATTATTTGTTTATTTAGTCTCTACTCTTTTAGTACATTTTAGTCATTGACTTAATGTTTTCATTTTATATTCGTTGATAAAAGTGAATATTCTTTAAATATTCGAACAGTTTTTCTATTTCATTCTCCCTATCTTGCAGAATTTCTTTCATTTCTGTTCCCATTTGAAATTTTTTCCTTATATTAGTGTACCTTATATAATATACGCTTTACTGTTCTGGGTACTAGGCAATGTGTGTAAGTTGGAGCTTCTAATCCTCGCAGGAGGTCTCCATGGGAAAACTCACAGTGCCCAATTCTTAGCCGACATAGTATCACTTCTTCTCATCTAGACTTTCTGTTTGATGTGTTCCATTTGATACATGTTGTTTTTATTTCCTGAAGTTTTGCCGAACTCATTTCCCATTCAATGTTCCATTTATTTTGAAAGGAGAAGTGAAGTTGGTGAGTCCAATCTTCTCGAGGAATAGCATCAATTATTGTGGTTTGTGCAGTTCCTTGATGCCGAGCAGAGTTGGCTACAGCATCGGCTCTCTCGTTACCCAGGATACCACAGTGTGATGGTACCCAGATAAGGACTATATTTTTATTTTCTTCCTTTAGTTCATCATATATGTTAAAAATTTCTGTTATAACAGGATGCTGGTTCGTTAATTGTTCTATGGCTTCTATTATGGCCATTGAATCGGTTACGATAGCATGGTTTTTGAAGTGGTTTATGCGGATGAGCAAGCGTGCTTCTTTTATGGCCGTGGCTTCTCCCGTAAAAATAGTACATTCTCCTGAAAGTTTGTACAGGGATTCTTCACTGTCTGTAACGACTGAACATCCCACTTGGTTTTCGGCTTTTGATGCATTTGTGTAAAATATTTTGTGATCGAAGTATTTGTTTAATAATTCTCAAAAATACGATTTTTTCCCATCCGAAACTAGAGTTTTTTTTGAGATGTGGGACATGTATTTTTCTGTATCTATATTATATGTAATATCAATGTTAGTTTAAAAGATAGTAGATATAATATTGGTTTTTTTCTCGAGATATTAAAGGCACAATGCGTTAGGCAATTACAATCAACAAATAACATCAGTAGTATTTAGAGGAGGCGACGGCTCTCCCCCTGCCCTCCTCTGCTGATGCCCATGTCAGAAATTCATTATTATTTTGTTTTAAAATATTTTTCCCTTTTAAATCCTTTTTAAGAGCGTTGTCTAAAGGGAGTACATTATTTTAAAATAGGGAACAATAAATTTGAGGATGAAGAAATTACTCTTCATTTCCTAATTAGTTTCTTTCAGAATGTTGAACCGACCTGTCGCGGATCATAATATTTCTTATGTTTTTTATTTTTGCTACTTTTTGCATTAGTTGTATTTATTATATACACACAATAAAGGACCCCATACCGATATTTCAAACAAGCGGCGCCCTTTGAGTTAATACTGAAAATGGGAATACGGAAGACCATGCTCCGCTTGTGTTGAGTACTTAGGATAAAGTCATATCTGCCGATCTTCTAAATATGCGGTGCTGTTAGATATTTTTTATATAGACTTTTTTTTTTTTTTTTTGATCCTCCCCTTCCTCGCCTGTAAGGCTATACGGGGTTCTCCCGGGCCAGGGAGTGTGGGCGGGGATTTAAAAGACTCCCCGGCACCGGGATTCGAACTCGGAACTATTTTTCATCGTTGCTTCATATGTCAGGTTGCCAGGCAACGGCCGTGCTGGGCACACTCATTAGCCCATTCGGCCACCCCGCCCACATTTTTTGGATTAAATGTTCTCTTTAAATTAAATACTTAATGCCTCCCCCCCCCAAAAAAAAAAATTTCTGATGGCGCAACTTGCGTCATACAATCTCCCTGTGGGCACCCCTGCTTCACATTATAACAATTTTGAGTTTCTTTTTACCGAAAGTTAGAGTTATTCGTCAGGGTGGAAAGTGTGGTATGGAAACTGATGGAAAACTGATCTAATCTTAAACTAATTCATACCTATTATTACATCGTGGAAAAATCAGGTGATTAAAGCGTCGTTCTGACCTAACTGTCTATCTAAATATCTTTAAGTCGAGTATTTTGTACACGCTATTAAATGTCTCCTGACCAAAATTGAACATGAAATTCAATGAGTAGCTAAACCTAACTAAGCCCGAAAAAAAATTGGAAGAGTTGAATGCAAAAGTATATTGGTTATACCAATTCTTTACAAATGTAACTCAAATTGTTAAGTATTAATGACTATTTTTTCTTAATTTTTATTCACCAAAAAGATTTTTTATTTTATATTTTTGACCAATCTTTGTCTTGGTTATGCTAAACGCAAGACCAAGACTGATTTTGTTCAACACTATCTAGATCCACCAACCATAGGCCAGAAATGGAGAATAAGGAGGCAACAGAAAAAAAATCAGTCATGCAACATAAACCATACCGCTTTGAAATAGTTAACATATAATAAATAATATTTCAAGTATGACATTTTTTAATGGACATTAAAATAAGTATGTACATGGGGTTCGCCACGATTCCTATTGCCAGGGTTAATAATTTCAAGAATTAGAAGTCGAGCAAAAAAACCTTTCTCAAGGTTATCTACCGATTAAAAATCTCAAACTGGTCCAAAAATTGGCTCTTAGAAAATCGTTAAAATGTTTAAGATACAGGGAATTATTTTTCTCTTTCTTAATTGTTTATTCATAACTGTAAAATAAAATAGTGACAGATAGTGAATTCTATCATGGACAAAACCAGAGAAAAAGCAGTAATAAAATAAACTCCCTCCTAGTTTTTAATTATTGTTGATTTTATTCTACCATATCTCTCAATCAGCTTCTTTTTATTCATTTGAAGCTCTTACTTTAAAGGATATTCCGTAAGTAGAGAGATATATTTAAAAGTTTGATAGTAGACATCAAGGTCTACAAAAAAAGTATATATAAAAAACTACACAATTTCTAGAGAAAAATAAGTTAAATTTTCTACTTAAAGAAAATTTATATTTTATGTTGTTCCGTAATTCTTAAAGTTTCTCTAAATTTCAACATTATATATCTTAACATATTAAGATTATAGCAGAGCATCATTGTTAGAGTTTTTCTTATCATTTTGGTTGGTAAAGTTCTTTATTGAAAATTGCTATTTTACAATAAATTGAGTATCGATTTTCGAAGAAAAAAAATTAAATGTCTACCAATATAGAGAGATTTGGACGAATTTGAGTGGATTGAACAGCATTTTTTCAAATTTCTCTGAAGAGGCTCAAGCAAAACAAGACGAATTATCAAACGAAAATCTGTAGATGTATTCATTTTAATATACATTACATAAATTCTACTGTACAAATTAATTAGAAAAAATATAGAAGGCCCATTTTATATTCAATTTCTCCAATCGGGTCTAAATAAACCAACAGGCATCGATAACCTGGCTGTTTTACGCCATACAAAATCCCAAACGAACAAAAAAACATATTAAATTATGTCTGTCCTCTTTAAGCTATTAAATTTTATATGATTTCGATCTGTATAAGAATGAAAAATAGAAAATATGTTATTAATTTATTTTTGTAATAACAGAATCTGCATTTATACAATGGACTTAATCTGTAAAAAATATAATAATAACATTAATTTACTCCTCATTTTGATAATTTAGGCTATAAAATATACCAATTGGGTGAATCATATCTTGACGATTCCCACAACTCAAAGAGGACTATCTCAGATAGTTGAGAACTTGGGGTTATCTAAAAGCACCGAGAGGCCAAAATAAGACATCTCAATCATCAGGACTTAAGGAAACATAACAGATTTCGGCAAAAGGTTAATCATTGATACCTTCCTTTACTGTTCTCCAATGGTCCTCGGGGAAAATCGCTCTTGTACTTACATCCTTGTAGTTACACTCCTGCCAGGAAACATCATAATCCTGATGTCATACTCTTGTCGGAGACCTGGGGCAACTCTAGTATGATTGTAGTTCTAGCATCATTCAGTACATAAGAATGTATGTAACATACCGATATGTAACATGGATTATAAACAAAAGTGCTACTTCTTAAGCTCTCATTACTTCTAAAGCATGCGATTTGTTAACTTGCTGTTATAATGTATGTTATATAAGTTAAACATTTAGTACAATTTTAAACAAAGGTTTTCTTTGATAGAAAAAAGATTATATAAAATACTATGTGTTTATAATTTACTAGTTTAGTATTTTTCCTGGAGAGAACTTTTAATAAAAAATTTAATATTTTTTTTTAATAAATAATAGATTTTATAGATACATAATTCACAAAGTTTCGCCCTTCTACGTTGACATAATAAAAACGTTTGCAATTTTTCTTAATCTGTTCCAGTTTGTAATGGTTTAATTCCGCTTCAAAATGCAAATATTATTCTTGTGGTGGAACCACTGAATAAAATTCGTCCCTACCTGGTTAAATTAGGATGATGTACACTTTTCAAATAAAACAGTTATATTTATAACTGATGTATAATATAAGCTAGTTATATTTCCTTGTCCCGAGTTAGACTCCTACTGTGGCAGATAGTTATTTATTTTGTTACATCGGAAACGGATCAATCCTGGGAACCCTCTCGAGGCAAAGCAGAATCTATTTGCCATTGAACGTGAACCAGGCCAAACTTCCTCATTGTTAAAGGTTGTCTTAGAAATAATACTTTCTTATAAAGTACTGAGCCCACAATATCTGGATAATACTGTATGGACCTCCATCAGTTACCTTCTCTTTCAGGATTGAGAAACAACTGAAATGGCTTTATTAAGGTGCCCAAACATTGTGTCATCCCCAGGACACTAAATCCTTCACCGCAAGATGTGCAGGAGTCCTGCTGAGGGACCACCTACACTAACCAGCGGGTGTCGTTCTTCCAACATTGACAAATCGTTGCCACCCAGGATACTTCAGCCCATTCTATTGGCTTCCCCTCAAGTGCCTAGAAACAGTAGCGATAAATAATAAATGAATACACAGCTTATTTTTTTATTCAGTCAACAATATTATTTATAAATTTTATTCAAAATAATAACATCTACATGAGAAGTTTGTGATGTAGAATGCACTGTTTTTAAGTAATAACCTTTTTTACTGTTTATCAATGAATTTTTTTTTTTTGATCTTATGTTATTATATTTTAAATGAAGTTCATAAATTAATTCGTCTTAAGTATCATATAAAGTTTAACCAGCCTTCCGACTTACAATTCCAGAAATATCACGAGACCGTTTTAGCAACGAGAAATTCCTTTATGAACCGTTATTTAGACTCAATTGAAGACTGAGGGAATGAAAGCAATATCATTGACTATCTATTGTAAATTATTTTTAATAATCCACTGAATTTATTACTTATATGCATACAAATTAATCAATCTCTGATGATATAGATAAAGAGATGGAAATAATTGGATGAGCTGAAGAAACGCCATACCTAAATGATACAAATCAAAATCCGTATCAGATCCGACTGTACGAAAACACCTTTAGAGTAAGTATAATGACTCAAAAAAAAAGAAAAAAGTTTTAGATGTCATTCAATCAAGAAATTTCATGTTTAAAATGAGAAATACTTTTAAGGTAAATATGGTCAGCCAAAGTACATTAAACAAAGAAATTTTCGATTAGTATACTTTAGCATATATGTAAATGCAATTTATACGTATTTCTGATATTCTTGGATGCCTCCTCTCTGAATTAGTAATAAAAAAAAATTGTATTGTTTACTTTCTCTCTGTAAGACTTCCCTTTAAGCTACATAAATTATTTTTTAAACCAGATGGTACCAAATACCAATTTATTTTTGAGATATATTTGTTTTATAAATGAAATTTTTAAAGTTAAGATTTAAAGGAATATTTCTCTGACATAAATAAATATCTGAAGGAACACATACGCCAAAACTTATACTTTTATAAGTATTTATATTTATTTATGTATATTAAGTATTTATAAGTATAATATTTATAAATTATTTCTCAGACGTTTTTTTGTACCGGTATGCCACATCTTCGTTTATTCTTTATCAAATCCAATGGCTGGACCATCATTTTGAAGATGACACCCTCCTTCAGACGGGAGTGATAGGGACCTCACTCCAAAGTTTTATTAAAAAAAGTAAAGTTGAAAAAAAAAAAACTTGATTTGCTTATAGCTCAAACAGTACGCAATTTATAGTCGGTTAACCTATGATTTTTTGAAAAGTCACTTTCATTTCCCTGCAAAACGGAAAAAAAAACGTTTGCCAAGTGAGGCCAGAATGACTTCCTCACCATTTTCATTAGTTCTACACTTACCTATGTCTCAAGATCTATTACTACGAATACTACTTTTACTAATTCTCACCTTTCATCTAGCTTTGAGTCAAAGCTTTCTAAAATATTAGCGTATCTTAGAAAATACACTTGCGTAATTTATTATACAGAATTGAATAAAATAGATACAGGATAATTATTTTACCAATTTTCACCTTTTTTTTTTATTTCGAATTCAATGATTAATAATAGATTAAGATTGTCTTCTCTTTCAGATGGAAAAAATGGGGACATCCCCGGATTTTCAGGAAAAATAAGTTGTGAAGGAAAGAAAACATTATAATCAGACCATTTTTAGGAAGGATATATCTGTAATTTATTAACATATTTTGAATAAACTAGTTTAATCGACCAAATAATAGAATATTAATTCCTTCTTCATGTTACATTACAATTACTTATTTTCATATTTTATTTTATTTTATCCACTGGTATACTTATGAATTGTACACTACCGTAACGTACGATAGTTTTTTTTATAACATTAAACAGGATAGAATAAATAATTTTAAATACATAAATAATAATTTTTTTCACTGAATACAATATGACCTGGTAACAAAACTCGAGTACTGCGTTCATCAAAATATAGACTGTTGGTCGCAGTTTTTCCTCTGATTTTTCTGCGGCCATTGAATACATGATTAGCATCAGCCCATCCAAGGGAGCTGCCAGTGTTGAGGCTATAAAGAAAAAAATGGAATAAAGGAGACAAAAGACGAGAAAGAGAATAGAAGGAAAAGAACAAAAAAGAAAAAAAAGACGTGGAAGGAGTAGGGTCAGTTGATTGGATCTTTTTATTGAGGGCAACTCTTGTCATCTTGATCTCCATCTTGAATTTATCAGATCGCTCCTGCTCCCTGATTGACACCGGCATTCTTCAGCCTCGTTGTCTACCTGGACAATCTTTCAATCAACCGCCTTTGAGGCGTTTTATCTCTTTCGGTCACCAATATTTAGAGAGAAAGCCCATCATTTTGACATCTCGGAATTTCATATTTCCAGAAACGGAATTAACTAGTTGGAATGAAATTGTTTTGTTTTTTTTATTTATGATATTTATAACTGCATTAGAAATAAAAATATATTTAGTAAATATGAACGCAAGAATATTATAACTTGAAAACCACTCGTTGAGAAACTACCCTCAGGTAACACTATAAAAACTTTTTATAAAAATTTTCTTTTAATAAAAAATTTCTTTTTTTCGATTTATTTTATTTTGGCCAGATGTAATATTTTAATTTTGTTCTATTTTGTTATTCTCAAGGGACTGTGTCCCAGAATAAAGTTATTTTTCTATTTCTATTTCTAAAAACGTATTAACATCAGAAGATCTCGAGGCAATCTTCTTTTCAGACGCCTCGGAGGGTTATCAGGGATCAAGGAAGAAGCAAGATTAGAAACGAGAGAATTTGGATGGTTCTGGAGTTTGTAATGGAAGGATAAGTATCTGGATTGGGCCAGGTCAGAAATATTAGGAACATAAACGTAACAAAGTAAGGAGCATTCAGGAATTCGATGGCTTATTAGAGCCTCAAAGCTCAACTTCGTAAGTCCAAATAGTTCTTACTGTGGTCATGTATATAAATCTTTTCTAATTAACTGGAACGTTAGAGCGTTTGTCTAATAAGAGCTGAAGTAATCGGAAACGTTGAGGAAAAGTTTCTAGTCGTTTCAGTATGGTATACGGATTCCAAGTTAGATGTTTGTCCAAGGACAGGAGGTCACAGGTTTACGAGGAAGGGAATCCTCCAGTTTTGACATCTTTCTTCAAGAGAAAGAAATTAAATAAATTTACTTGAATATCTATGATATTGAATATGATTAAAAATATTCATAGTTACCAAACTAAATAAATGGAATTAGTGTTATACTTTCATTATGTTGGTTGTATTAACAATGTAACTGAAAATAAAAATTAAATAATAATAATGAAAAGTTCAATCTAATATAATGAAATAGCTTTTTAAAAAGCTCCTAGTTTGAATACATAAATAAGCTACACTAAATAAACAAATAGTTTTTAATATGATTTTCATGAGCTAATTTCAAAGAAAATGACGTTAACGTGTTTGGCAGAAAAAAGACGGATAGCTGAGGGCGTGGCGCGTCTCGGTGCCAGTGGGGTTTTTAACTTACGCATTAATACCCGTCCTCATCCTCTGGTTCGAAAAAAAACCGGTATAGCCTAAAATGTGAGGGAGGGGAGAACAAGAAAAATAAATAAATGGTACAAAATATTTTGAGTAGGGTTTTTCATAAATGTTACAAAGACCAATTAATCGTTATGTGTTTTTACTGTGTATTGGCATTTATATAAAGTAAATATTGTAAAGAAAAATTAGATAATTAATTTTTAAGTTAAAGGGTTACGTTGGTTTAAAAATCAAAACACAAAGTAAAACAAAATAAAGCCTGTGATGATATAACAATATTAAATCTCCAGTGAAAAGACGCATGAAAGAAACATTACATTGTCTAGACAATCTCAGTGGAGAAAAAAAAAAGGGAATTAGATCCGCTCAAGCGCGTGCCTTCCTTCAGGACTTTCCAGGATAAAGGGAAAATGCCGCTTCAGAAATATCCAACATCTTCATATCCTTTGCTGTATCTTATAACATATTATATTTATAACATGTTGGGTAACATATTAATAAATATGTTAAGATTGGTTCATGTACTATCATATTTTATAATTCGGAAATTAAGTAAAACACGCATTCATTTGATTTCATATTATTTTGTTATGAAACCAAATTATTATTAATTCTAATTTCTTTTCTGATATCTCTGAGCACCCTTGCACCGCCATTCTCATTTTCGCTGAAGGTACAGGATAGGATTATTGTAATTATTAAACAGATATACCACAAAGAAATTAATTTGTTATTTATGAACTGAAGATATCGTCGATACAATGTCAAACTGTTGAATCTGAAATTCAGCACTCTAATATCATTATCAATTCAGCCCAAACAACGAGGATGTTTCAATTTCTACACTAATATCTGCTTTTATGAATGTTTGAAGATTTCGTAATCGCTGTTTAAAAATATTTGATTACAATTGCAATCCCTAGAATACATATTTCATATTCGATAGTTTATATCGATGATATCAGTGCTATGAAGGTGTTAAAATACAAGTTTTAAGATTCAAGAAAATTTTAAACAACTAAGATTCTTATGTTGCTAATATCTTCAATCGAAAGAAAAACATTTCACAACATTTGTTAAATGATATCTTCACCCACTCGCACAGGCGGATCTACGGGTCTAAAGTCAAAGTCGTCAGTCAGCCATGTTTGGGCGCCATTTTGGGGCAATTCGTTCACTTTTTTTTGTGGGAACATTGGCTATTTTTAAAAATAAATTGTTACAAGGAACTAAAGGATACGCAATTTATAGAGATGTGTGTGGGGAGAGGAGAGGAGAGGGATGTACACGGTAGAGGGGTATGGCCCACAGACTAATTTTCTGAAGGTGAAGTCAGGGGTTTGTTAAATGGACTACTTAGTGCTGAAAATGACTTCTCCTTTGATATTTAGTTTGTCTTTTCCTTTAACAAGAATATATGCAAAATAAAATTATAATTTAATTAAGTCACTTAAGCTGAAGGGATATACCAAGCTTTTTTCTAAATTTATTTATTTGGTTTTGTTTTTCACTATAAATATGAAAAGAAATAAAATTTACTTCATTCATTGAAACGTGTATTTTTAATCTTTTGGAAATCGGTATATTAATTTCCCTCAAGATGGAAAAAAAAAAAAAAAAAATTGGCCCTTAAATGTACTTCACTATTTTAGGAGGATTTATCACATGTATTATAACTTAATGTATAAATACAAATACCAAAGTTTATTTTATATTCCCATTGTAACACTAATGTCACACTATTTGATTATGCCTACTTCATCATTCCACACTTTGTAACGGTTATTATTATTTATCTCTTAGTTCT